GTGGATGACAAGAAATCTGCACATGGTTGTCTCTGGGGAGGGGGACGCAGAAGATTTATCGCCCCTGCAAAAAAAAAAAAAAGTTTTACGCCTTTTAAAATGGGAACATACAATACGCTATGTAGTCATATTAGTAAGTTTACTATTTCCTAAAGAAGTAAAATAGTGAATTTTCTCCGCCCTCAAATAAATAAAAGGCAGCACTTAGGAGTAGCGGCTGCGGCCACCTTGCCTGGAGCAGAACTTTGCTGGGAGGTGTACCACGCGTCAGAGTCACGTGGATGTGTCTGCCCGGCCACCTGCTCTGTCTCCTCTCCAGAGCAGCCCTACCAATGGGAACCGGAAACTCAGGGCCAGTCCTCACGCTCAGTGTCATGTTGCCTAGTGCATGGGGAGCCCAGGGCAGCTTGACCCGCACTGTGTGGGTCGGATTGGACCCCACATCTCATCTCCCAGGACTGGCTGTTTGGGAGACCCACGGCTGTGCACCAAGGGGTCATCCGAGAGCCTCTTGCTATCACCTGGCTCTCCATGAGCAGCTGCTTCCTTGGGGATCAGCCTTGGGGGTCCTGCTCGCCCGCAGCTGGGCCCAGGGATACTCTCCTTCCCTGATTGGGCCCTAGAAGGACCTCAAACCCTTTCTGTCAGGATGCAGAGAAATTTGCTTTTTTTCTTTATTCAGTGTTAAGGGTGCAGGTAGCACGTCCGTTTCCCCTCTGGAAACTCAGAACATTGCATATGAACTAAAGCCACCTTGCCTCTTGCTGTTGCCACTCAGCACTGATTTTTGAGACTTGGTTGGCCTGTGCACATGTCTGGAGAGCTGACCCGTTCCTGGCTGTCACCACGGCCTTACCTCCAATAACAATCCGTTGTGTTCAGGCTGTCCCTTAGGGCTGAACACTTGGGTCTTTAGGACCCCAGAGCTGCTCTCAGCATGCCCGGGCACATCTCTTGCCCCACACCTTTGAGCACTTTTCTTGGGAACATACCAACTGCCAGGTCATAGCATGTGAAACTTTCAGTTTTTTTAATAAATAATGCCGATTTGCCCTTCAAAATGCCTGAGTTCGTTTATTCTCCCACCAGCAGCCTTTGAGAATGCCAGTCTCTCTGTGTCCTCTGTAACACCTGACGTTATCAAGCCTTTTTATGTTGAGTGAGAAGAAGGTGGCGCCTTGATTTGGTGTGGTGTTGAGAGCCACAACCAAGTCAAGATGGCGCCTGGCATTTTGCCAGAAGGAAGGAGTGGTTGGGAGGTAGCGCCAGCGAGCCGTTAAGATGATGATAATTGAGTTGAGCTGTGTATAACTATTAAGGTGATGACTGATTGCTGTAACTGGAGGATGCTAAGTTGGAGCAAGCTGTGTACTCAGTTGTGTATAGAAACCTCTGCTGGCCCGCAATAAGGCGGCTCCTGCTACCTCGGGTGCCCGCTCCTTTTGAGTTCTCGCGGAGTTCCCGTTGAGTTCCTGTTGGTTCTCGCAGAGTTCCCGTGGAGTTCCGGTTGAGTTCCCGTGGGGTTCCCGTGGGGTTCGGGCAATAAAGCAGTCCCTGTTTGAACCTACAAGTGGCTCGTGACCGCCTGGTGATTTGTGCCCAGCCAGACTGCGGCCGTGTGGTCCCTGACTTCTCCGAGGACAAGCACCCTGTGTGTGAGGGCTGCTCTGTCCCTGCTCTGGGAACGCTTTCCAATGGCTGCTTTATCATCTTCTGCTGCTTGTATCCTAGAATGTCTTCCAAAAACTTTGTGCAGTGTCTTTATGTGAATTGGAGTGACGCTGTTGGGGGAGGGAGCCAGGAGGTTCGGATAAGCCCCAGATTCTGGAAAGCGGCTTGGGTGGGTGACCAGGCATGCCAGCTGCACTGGCCACTCCTGAATCAGGCAGGGAGGCCCCGGAAGCCACCGTTCACCGTGACAGAAATACCTGCCACCTAGTCCCTCCCGCATGGCCACATCCCTATGGGATCCTGCATGGTGCTGTCTGACTGCCCCAAAATCCACACCCACATGCAGGAAGGCTTCGGGCGACGGCTGAGCGTGTGGGCACAGTCGGCCTTCACTCAGCCACTCTCCCTGGGTTCCTCTGGCACCCGGAAATCCAGCCACCCGGACACCATCGCCTGTCCCCAGCACTGCAGCCAGGAATGCCCACACCCTGACCTGAAGGGGATGCGTAGGTTCCCTAAAGTGACACCCCACAGGCCCGCAGATGAGTCCCCCAAAGCCAGCGTGTCCTCCCTGTCCCTGAAGGTGGCCTGTGCAGCCGGCGGATGCCCCGCAAGGTGGAAAGCAGAGGCCCCTCCCGCCCCTCACCACCCACGGGGCCTTCCTGCCCGTGGGGACACTGTGTTTTCTAATGACATCTCACCGAGTCCTCCCACTCCCGGGGCTTTGACGGCCCGTGGCATTTCGGAGAGCCCTGCCGCTCCGCTCCGGGGGTTGGTTCTCCCTTTCTGTTCTGGGTGGGAGGTGGCAGGTCTTCTTTTCCCTGGAGCCCGAGGCAGCTCGGCTTTGTGAGGGAGGCCGGTGGCCTGCTGACAAGCCCCAGTGTCGCTGACCAGATGACTCTCAGTCGGGTCAGTCGGCAGCTGAGAGCGCAGAGCGAAGCTGAGGTGTCCTGCTGGGAGCGGGGAGAGGAGAAGTGGCAAGAAAAAGCTGCCGTTTTGTTCTGTTTTTAAAATGATTCTCATTGAGAAAATATCTTAAATACTGAGTCCAGACCGTCCACCCTGCCTGCCCGGATCAAGAGGTTTCGTTTTTTAGAATACACAAGATACGGTGTCCAGAGAAAGCAATGATGGGATGGAAGTTCAGGATGAAGTCTCTCTCGAAGTTTCTCAGGGCCTGTGGCTGGGATGGTGGGAAGGGGACGGGTCTCGCCATAGGTCACATGATGCACAAGTCCTGGCAGTTAGCCGGCCGCCGCGGTGCCAGTGTGCGCTGTGGGGACCTGGCTGTCCTGAAGCCAGGGAAAGACTCGGCCTGTGAAAGCTTGGAGGGTGGACTGCAAGCACCCAGGAGCCCAACCGGGGCAGGGACACCCTCAGGAGAGGGTGCTGAGCTGCAGAGAGACTGCCCGGGGCACTTCCTCACTCCTTAGACCAGATGAAAAGACCAGGGGCGGGGTGGGGCGGGGCGGGGCGGCGGAGAATACCTGAGCCTAAGTTTGTTCCGTGTTTGGGGCTAGAACTCACACCATCTGCACTACCTTCCGCTTTTCCCAAGAAATTTAAGCCAAATATTGGGTCCAAGTATTCCCAAGAACTAACTGGGGTGATGGTGTTCCAGCCTGAATGCCGTGCCGTGCCGCGTCTGTGGGCTCCATTCACACCAGACCCTTCAAAGGAGTCGATGTTGCCATCCATAAATCACAGCTCAAAAAGGCGGTTAAGAAAAATCAGACACACTGCCATTTTTCGAAGCAGACTTGCATTAACAGGCTTGCCCTCTGCCCTGGGCTCAGGTTGGTCTGGAGGGACGCCTGGGTGAGCGGGTCTGTTGTTCTCTTCTAGAGCACTGTGATCACACTTCCTATTTGGATTCCTTCTGACAGAGCCGCTCCCCTTCGCTCCCTCTACCTTTCTCTGCTTTTTATCTATTTTTGGCTGGTGATCTGCGCATATCCTTAAAGGAGAAATCCCCTTGGCACGTTACATACGGGGATACCTTTTGAACATCAAATTTCTATCCTCTTTTTCATCTAGAATCGTGATTTTTTTCCCCAGCGTCATTATACGTAGTGTAAATGAGTTTGGGGTGTGTTTGGTCGGTTGGTTTGGTCATTTTGGCGATGCTGCCCTGGGGCCACGGCCAGACACCTGCTGAGCTACACCCGCAGCCCCACGTGTGTATGATTTTTAACTGGAGTTTTTAGTGTATTTCAGAAGAATATCTTGAATACTCTCATTTTGAAATGATTTCAAGTAAAAGAGGGGCACATAGAGCAAAAGTGGAAACTCTCCTTTAATTCATCCCCCCACATATCCTCCCACCCCTAGTTCTCACTTCTCTCCCCACAGGTGACCACCATTCGCCGTCTGCTTAGGCATGATTTTTACATGAGTACGTAATTTTCCATCTGGGGAGGAAAAAAATCACAAAAGTTGTTTCCCTGCTTGGGGACATTTTGAGTGTTTCCTGGTTTGACGATCTTTTTTTGAAACGTGTGGTACAGGATTTCCCTGGAGAGAACTCAAAGTAGGTAGTAGGTGCGGCTGTCCTATGTTACTGAGGTGTCTTCAGCACCATCAAGGACAGAACTGAGATGTGGAATTGGGGGATAACTTTCAAGGAGAAGGAGGAAGGGTCCCCACGCACAAGACCCCAGGCTAAGTGATCTTCCCATCTGTCCTCCTCGACTGCAGCAAACATCTCAGATAAGGACATTCTTCCATGCCCAGGGTCCTGCACCCTCTAGTGCAGAGCTTGGCACTGAGTTGCCAGACACCAAGTTGTGGACTTCATGGTGCTGTTGTAGAGAGCAAGAGACTCTTCCTGTGTGATCTTGGTGACACCATCTCAGACTGCCATTCTAGGTCCGTGGGAGGTGCTGCAGTGCCCTGGGTTGCTTGGCTCGCGCTCTTGGGACCTTGTCTTTGCCGTGCTGGGCATGGAACCCAGAGCCCGCACGTGCCAGGCAGCTCCTCTACCGCCAGCTGCCTCCTCAGCCCCAGCTCTTGGTTATTTTAAGCCGCAGTTCGAGTACTCGACACACAGTGAACTTTGGACTAAGGGTTGGTCGTACTTTATATCGGTCCCAACAGATAGTGCTTTGAGGCCATGTGCCTTGTGGCCGTTTTTTGAGACGAGGAATCTGAGGCCCAGAGAGGAAGAGGAACTTGCGCAGCATGGCTGGCTGAGGAGGGTCTTAGACCAGTCCCGAGGGGCTCGAGGCCTTCCAAGCTCTGCTTCCTGGCAGAACGAGAGACAGCTGGGGGGTCCTCCCAGGCCGGCAGCCAGACACGCACTCATTCTTCCCTCTGCTCGCTCTTCCCAGATAACAGTGACTTGATCGCGTGCACAGTGATCACCAAGGACGGTGGCATGGTCCAGCGATTCCTGGCTGTCGACATTTACCAGATGAGTTTGGTGGAGCCTGATGTGTCCCGGCTTGGCTGGGGAGTGGTCAAGTTCGCAGGCCTTCTGCAGGTAAGATGACCAAAAATTCTGGAATCGCTTCCAAGTTCCCTGCACAGACCCACATACCCAGTTATCATCTTTGTAGACCGTTTCTAACCATGCAAGGAGGGTGTGAACAAATTGTCCGTGGAGAAAGCTAAGACTTTGCACAGATAAGGGCCAAGTCCTCTTTGACCAAAACCCACACCCCTCTCCCCTGCAAGAGATAACCTCCATGATCAGACTGATGCTTGCAGATCTATTTCTGTGCCAAATGTGCATAATGACACATACCAGTTTTTAGAATTGTCTAGTCAGCCCTCTGTATGTGCATCTGCATCTTCAACCAACTGTAGATAAAAAAAAAAAGTCTTTGAAAAAGATGACCTCTGAACTGAACATACATACTTTCTTCTTATCATTATTTTCTAAGCAGCATTTACATTGCATGAGGTGTTTTGAGTGATCCAGAGATGATCTAAAGTGGAGGGGAGGACGTGTCCATGATATGCTCTCTGCTCCAGTCCTCTGTACGTAAGGGACATGGGCACCTGCAGATTCTGGTATCCTCGGGGTCCTGAAACGATCCCTTGTGGGCCCCAAAGGGTGACTGTACATATATTTCAGAGTAGGTGTTTTTTGGTGTCTCATGGAACATATTGCCAACTCTGCCTTCTTCACTCAGTGGTGTCCCTCAGCGAGCCCGCCATGTCAGAGCATGCGCACCTGCCGGTTTTCTCTGACTGCCGCGGGACTGGGCCAGGCATGCTGAGCCAGGGCTCTGTTTTACCTTTCCAGCAGTGCGCCTTGAGCGGAATTGGTCTCACTTCCGGGTGCACTTGGTCAGGATTTCCCTAGGCAGATAACTGAGACGTGGCATATGCCTGTTTTAAGTGTTGACAGACCCTGCCAGCTTCCTCCCTTAGTGCTCTTTGCCACCAGAACTCTATGAGGATTCCCTTCCGCTCGCCCCGACTCCAGCGCGGAAAGGCTCTGAATCGCCTCGCACCAAGTGGGAGCTGTTTGTCGATAAGAGAGGGCCAGTGCCATCTTCTTTGTTGAGTGAAACAAAGAACCGGAGGCTCGGAGCAGCCCGGCCACCCAACCCTGGCCCCCCCCCGGTCCCTGAGTTCCCAGCAAGCACGTCCTCGCCGGGATCCGCCCTACTGTGAGGCAGCCCGTTTCCGGGCTGTGCAGTTCTCCTTCCTGGAAAGACCTCCCTGTAGCATGGCCTGCTGGCCCTGCCCACTGCGGGTCACGAGAGCCACCCACCTATTTGAAGATACTACTGCTCACCCCCGCCTCCTCTCCTTCAGGATCTTTCTAGTTTAAACATGTCTCTTGGAGAGAACGATGAGAGCGACAACCGTAGAACCTTTCGCTTTCAACAAGACTCGCATGTAAGACCTTGTCCATTGGGCGACCTAGGCTTTTTATACCTAGGCTTATGACCCATGTCCTTTAGAATTTACGTCAGGAGACTGTTTCCTCCCCCGAAGGACTCAGACGTGTCCTCCCTCAGACAGTGAGGCCACACAGCCTTTTCTTTGGGTCGCCGTCCGGAGGCTGCTCTTGGTCAGGTCGTGCCTCTGTGAGGCCTTGCTCTCTGCTCCAGTCTGCAGGGACCCCCTCCTCCAGGAGCCTGTCCACGCCTCCCACCCTCTCTGGCATTGCTGCCCTTTGTGTCTGTCTGTCTGCCGGGTGACGTCACCACCGAGCCGCAGGCACCAGCCTCCCCGCGGGCACCGTTCTGGGGTTTGGGATTGGAGGAGCCTCCTCCTTGCCCCTGGCTCCGCGGCAGTCTCTCTACCTCCATGCACAGTGTCTTAAGATCTCGCTGAATGGCCTTCCCTGCCCCTTCCTTAGGAAACAGAAGGTCCTCAAAGACATAAAAAGGACACACAGTATCCTGTTGTAAAGAGAAGCTAGGAGACAGATGAGCACACCTAAGGTCAAGCCCCATAGAGGTGGGACCGCGTAGCCATCTCTGGTTTCTCAGCAGGAACAATTGTTGAAGTTGCCTGTTGAGTGACAGGTGGCCCTTGAAGAAGCTAGTGAGCCCTTTTATTTGCCAGGCATCGAAGTCCTCATGGAAATGGGTGCCAGCCACCACACCCAACACTGGCCACTGTGCGACCCTCCCTGCCTTCTTCCCCTGGGCCTGGTTGGTTTGTGCCCACCCCCAACTTTGTCAGACTGGGGAGGCATAAGCAGAGTTGACTGGGGGGATCCTGGATCCCACAGGCCCGGCAGATGCCCCCCACCTGAAACCTGATGCGCACCTCTGCCTCCTGGCTCTGCAGGACATGCAGGTGACTGGCGAGTACGACGACAGCCGCGCCCTGAACATCACCATCCACAAGCCCACCTCCAGCCCCCACTCCAAGCCCTTCCCCATCCTCCAGGCCACCTTTGTCTTCTCGGACCACATCCGCTGCATCATCGCCAAGCAGCGCCTGGCCGTGGGGCGCATCCAGGCCAGGCGCATGAAGATGCAGAGGATAGCGGGTGAGTGCCGTGGGCGGGCTGTCCTCTGGGCCTCCCAGGGCGGAGCAGCCACAGGGCTGCCACTGTGCTCCTCACAGTGACCTGGAGAAACCCAGGCTCCTGGAGAGGGGGACACGTGCTCGGGCTCACGGTGCTCCACGGGGGATGGAGGCTTTGCACGGAAATGCCCACTTCCGAAGTGCTTGGTCACCTGAGACTTTCTAGGGCCACGTGGGAGAGAAGGGGATCCCTCCCTGGCAGGCCAGAGGCCGGAAGAGGCAGGCAGTGTGTGACAGGTGTTCTCGCTCCTCCACTGACTGACACGGGATACCTGAACCTTCCGGTACCACCTTGAGCCTTAAAAAAACCTTCCACTTATGGGGCTCGTGACCCGCTTTACAGAGGAGGAAACTGGGGCTCAGCCACTTGCCAGTCACCCAGAGAGCCAGTTGGCAGGACCCAAAGGCTGAACTCCCCCCTCTGCCTCCCCTCTGCCTCCCCGCTTCCCGTGGAGCTCCCCTCCCCGGCCCCACCCAGCCCTGAATTCAGATGAGGCTTGGCGTGTCTCAGGTAAAGTGGGGAATCTCTAGGAAACCAAGCACCATGCTGTCAGGGAGGCCCAGCTGTCTTGGGGAAGGCAGGGCCTGGGTGTCCTGTTGGGTCATGAGTGGAAGCCAGGCGTAGCCATCCTTGGTGAGCAGGAGAAGGTGGTGTCCTGTCAGCTCCCCAAACCAGGCACAGCCTCTCTCAAGGTACCCAGTACCTCTGGACAGCTCAGGCTGGGCCGGCCCTGGCGTGGCTGCTGGGGAATGTCCAGCCCGAGGTGGGGTGGGGCGCTTTCTCAAGGGCTAACCTAAAAATAAACCCGTGGAGGGTGGTTCTGGGCGTTGCTGGCTGGGGTACTTGCTGTGCGTGCCTCCTGGTTGGCACCGCCTGCCTCCCGGGGAGACCCCCATCTTGTTCTCACTTAGCTGCAGCCTGGCCTGCGATTCATTACAGAAGCATTCTGTGATGTGCAAAGTGACTCAGAGCATTCAGACTTTTCTTCAAGATTTATTTTCAGAGGTTTTTTTTTTTTTTTTTTTTTTTTTTAATGTAAAGCAGTTTCTCGCAGCGGGCATGAAGGCCAAATATTTCATTTGAAAATCGAGAATTATGCTGCAAAGTGGCTGTTGGAACCAGCGCCTTGGGTGTTTCTAAAATTGGTTTTAAAACGCCCCTCTGAGGTGATATATCAGGTAGCTGTTTATGGGGAGGAGGGTGACAGCGCTGACACGCAGAGTCCCGTGACTGCTCTCCCTCACACACCGCCCGGGCACAGTCCGCCCTGCACAGCGGTGGATCCCACATCCGTGGCTTCAGCTAACCAGGGATTGAAATATTCAGGGGAAAAAAAAAAACGTGTTGAACATGGGCACATTTTTTCCCTGTCGTTATTCCCTAAATGCAGCATAACACTCTGTGCATGGGGCTTCCATCGTGTTGAGGGTAAGTCACCCGAGGAATGACTGGTGTAGGTCCTGTGCAAACACCACGCCACTTTACATAAGGCCCCAAGCACCCACAGAGCTGGGCCTTGGGCTCCCAGAGCCGATCCCTTCAGGCTCTGCGAGCCTTTCGCTCATCTCTGCACAGACATAGGAGCTTTCAGAGCAGGGTCGGCCCTATTTGCTTTAAGGTTGAAATGGTGGCAGACGCTAGCCACAGTAGAACTGGCTAGCGTCCTCTCCACCTGAAGATCAGGCGTAGAAGCCTCTCTTCTTGTTCCCCACCTTCTCCTGAAGCCCTCATCCGATGCCAGTTGGACTCTGCAGTGTAGTTGGTGCCAGCTCAAGGCTGCCTGTTTGGCATCTCCAAGGGCCGTGGCTGGCAGAGCCACAGCTCCTGCAGCCCACTCTCCGTCCAGTCTCGCCTGCCTTTTCCCCTCCATATGGCAGGAATGAAGTGTGTGCCGTTTGGTTACAGCCCTCCTGGACCTCCCGATCCAGCCACGAACCGAAGTCCTGGGGTTTGGACTTGGCTCCTCCTCCTCCACCCAGCACCTGCCTTTCCGCTTCTATGAGCAGTGTCGCAGGGGCAGCAGCGACCCCACCGTGCAGCGCTCTGTGTTTGCATCTGTGGACAAGGTGCCGGGTAAGAACCCTCCCTGTGGGAGTTGGAGGGCCTTCTCGGCGGGGCCTTTGTGAGCCCCCTCCCTCTCTCAGAATCCAGGGTCTTGACGTGCCGGGTGACACAGCTTCCCAGGCTGCGTCAGAGCATGGCCCCGTTCAACACAAGCCCAGGAGCCAGCCTTGGCTCTCCCGTGGGTATTCTGCGCCTTGGTTTGGTTTTCCAGAGATTTGTTGGGTGTGTGGAGAGACTTCTCAGAACTAAGACTAAGAAGTTTCTTGGAAGTTTCTTGGAAATACTTGAGTCATTAGTAACGAGGCTATGGGAGAGGAATTTCCTCCTCCACGAACTATGACTGAGGAGACGGCGTGTGCAGTCCCTAGCGTGCCCCGAGAAGCGAGCCCTGGGAAAGGGCCCTGCCGCCCACAGGCTGCGTCCCCCGTCCAGGAGCAGCTCTTTCCACTTTCTCCAGAGCCGGCGCGCTGGCCACCTTCTGCCCTCCCAACAAAAGGGAAGTGTGAGTGGAGAGTTCAAGGCCGCTTTGGCAGAGCAGAAAGGACTGCTTCTCCCGAAGAGTGGCGCTCCTTCCTGTTCCCATGTGCGCCGGAGCCCTCTGTCCCTCGAAAGAGCCCTTGTCTCCATTACAGAATTCAGAAAAGTGGCACGCTCCCTAGCCACCGAGCCCCGTCTGTGTTCGAGGTTTGAACTTGAATTGCATGGGTTATGAAATGTCCTCAAAAAACAGATTTAAGAACAAAGTGCAACCATGAGAACCCACCCCAAATCCAGGGGATCAGATTCTATATTTGATTTTGTATGTTTCCTGTGTATGTGTATGTTGCACAGAAATGATTTTCAAAAATCAGACAAGACGTGATGAGATGAGAAATGAGTCATCTTTGCTCCCGAGTACCCACTGTTGTTGATTTCTCACATATCCTTCTGGGAGTGTTTACTCGTGTGTGATATGTATGCTTTTGTGAGTTGGTTTTCACACACGGGTTCCACCATGCGTGTGATTGTGCACCTCGGCTCTTCACACTCAGTGCCAAGTCAGTGTCACACATTAGCACACAGACTCGGGTTCCTGGCCATTAACTGCCCATGGTGTTCTGTTGAAGGGATGAACAAAACGTCTTTTGTAACCACCTCATATTGATGGACATTTGGGTCATTTCCAGGGCTTTGCTCTCACAGGGTCACAGTGAACCTCCTTGAGACGTCTTTGTGTAACTGCACATCTCCCACGTCTGAGGATGAGTTCCCAGCAGTAGGTCTGCCAAATCAGAAGGCCAGGCTTTTAATCTTGATAGATATGATCCCAACGTGAACTCTAGGGAAAAAATGCCCCCGTTCCCTGTGCCACCCACAGCCTGTGACTGTTGCACTCTGAAAAACCAGCCCGGCCTTGCAGTGGGCGGCCGCCCTGCCTGTCCTCAGCTAGGAATGCGCAGCCATGCTGCCGATCCAGGTGCCATCCAGGGGGCCATCCAGGGTGCGGAGGGCTCCTTGTTCAGGGCTGTAGACAGTTGCTCACTGGATATAAACCACGCTGTGAGTCAAAGTTAACTAAATTCAGGTGGGTCCCCGGAGAACTTCTTTCTTTGGGTGATCCGGTTTCTTTCAGTACCAGAACTTATTGGTGAAGGAGAAAAACTAGGACCCCACCGCGCCCTTTTCAAATGAGGTAGAATGTGAAAAAGAAGACGCAGGGGTGCCGTCCACCAGCCTGCGGGATCGTTGCAGTTTGCAGAGTGCTCTATGGTGACATCTGTGCAGCTCTCCATTCCCTGGGCTTCAGGGCAGGTGGGAGATCAGGTGCTGGGAGAGTGGCCTGGCCTCCAGGCAGGGGTGGGTGGGACATCCTGGATGCTGAGTGTTGTGTTGCTCGCCCCCAGGCTGTGAGACTGCAGGCTGTCGCTGGTAGCTAAGGAAGGTGACCGTCCACCCTCGCCTGGGTCTCTTTCCTGACTCCCCTGATGTGCCACTGAGGAGGGGGGAAGGGGCGTTATTTTATGTCTCCCTCTGAGAGAGGCCTCACTGCCCTCCTCCAGTGCCGTAGCATGGCCCTCGAGTGCAGTTCAGAGAGCGCACAGGGGTGCACACAGAGAGCCGGGCCTGCGTCCCCCATCACCCCCACTTGCAGTCTCCCCGCCCTCTGCATTCAGCCAGCTGGGTCCTTCCAGAATGGAGCTCAGGCCACGCCCTCCCCAGCCTCCCAGGGTTTCTCATTGCACCAGGACAGACCTCACCTCTCCCTCGGGTCTGCTGTGCTCACCACGGGGTGCAGCCCCGCTGGCTCCTGCCACAAAGCTGCCCCCACTCGGCCCACACCTTCAGTCTCCCCCTCTGGCTGGCCGCAGCAGCCCCCACTGGTGCTCAGGTCGGCCTTCCTCACCACTTGGCCCTGGAGTCCCTCGTGCTCTTCAGAAGGGCATAGCTCTAGTTCCCATGGGGATGGGTTATAGCATCAACGTCCATAGCCTTCGAAACTAAGGCTGAGAAATGCGTTCAGTGATTACTTAATAAATCCCTGGTATGCAGACACAAGCAAGTCTACTGTAGATGAACATTCCATCAACAATGACTGTTTCCAAAACAGAGAGACTGCTTGACATTTTGGGTCCCTTTGTCTGACCTAACAGCTCACCTCTGGATTCTCCCATCTGCCTCTGCTCCTGGGATGGCACACATTGTGTGGCCTCTGGAACAGCCCTCAGTGCCCCCTGGGAACACGACTCTGAAGGGCAGATGATGTCCTACTGTTTCTAAGACAACCAGGATCCCAGGCACATGCTGAGAAGCCCTGTCACCCTCCCTGGGCCCGGTCCTGCCTCAGGACCTTCCCCTGGATACTCTTGCCTAGGTCTTGGGTGCTGCAGCCGCCTCCTGCTCCAGAGGCCTTTTTGACCCCCCCCCCCCCCCTTACTAGGGTTTCGCCCTCTCCTCCATCCCATAGCCTGGTCATTTCCATTTCCGTGGCACTGCGGTTCCTACCTGGCTGTGACCTTTCTCCCCCATGGAGACAGCCGTTGCCTGGGGCCACAGCCTGCACCTTCTCTTCTCTGCTGCACCTTAGCCCCTTGCAGTGTGGCTCCCTGTAGAGTTCTTTACTGATTCTCTGCACAACCTTGGGGCAGTCCCCTCCTTCCTCAGAACTGCCTTGTCTTTCTGGTGTTCCATCTGGGACCCTAGACATGGGATGGTTTAGTCTGTGACACTGTGACAAGGGAACGTGAGACACTGAGACCCAGAAGATCTTAGTAGCATTCTTCCGTATAATTTCTCTCTCGGGGGAGCGAGACGTGTGTCGGGGCAGGTGCGGCCCGGTGGCAGGGGGGCAGGCTGCTCGCTGCTGGACCTTGCTGTCCTGCCCGTGGGCAGGAGAGTAGGGCGAGAGGGGGAGCAGGGGAGGCTGGGAGGGCTGCTCCTCAGAGCCTGGCCTGGTGACCCCCAGTGGGGCAGCTTCTGCAACCGCCGTGGGGACTGAGGGCCTCGCGGGACCCCTTCACCTTCTGGAGTGGTGTCCTTGCCATAGACTGCAACCCCTGGCTGGCTGTGTGGGGCCATTGCTTCTGCCTGGGCGATAAGTAGCAAAAGAGAAAACAGCTCTGGCCACATCTCAGGTGACTTGTAGCAGGGCTTGCTTTAGGACACGGCTTCTGGTAATTGTCCCAGAGCAGTCCGTCTCTCCTTTAGAAGCTGTGAAGGATGTATTTGATGAAAACCTACCTTTCACTTCCTCGGGGAGAACTCATGGGTGACTGATGGCCACTTGGGTGCCTCTCTGCTTCCGTTTGGCTCCGTAGGACAGCACGGGTTCCACCCTCTGGCTGTTGTGTGCTCTGGTTCTTGCCCCCGGACGGTGGGGCCCTGGGGAGGGAGAGGCTTGTGCGTGCACCTGCCCAGGATGGGGAGGACCCGTGGTAGCAGTGAGGGGACAGACAGGGGCTTCCAGGTCTCGACCCTGGCATGAGCTGTGGGCATCTCGGAGGTGCTCCTTCTGGTCTGTCCCCTCATGGACGCACCACGGTGCCAGCTGCTTTCCAGAACCTGCTGTGGTAGGGAGGGCACGCGAGCTATCCCACTGCTGCTCTCGCCACGCACACCAGGAGCGCCCACCGCCAGGGAGACCCCAGAGCAGAGGCTGTTCCCCAGAAGTGACCCTGGCTCTCCCAGGAAGAGGGGCAGAAGAGGCCCTTGGAGGCCGGGGCGAGGCTGCTTATAGATGAGTGGGTGGGAGTGGGACAGAGTGGCACCCAGAGCGCACAGAGCAGAGCCACAGGCGGGCGACCTCCATCGTGCAGCTCAGTGGTCGAGCACTTGTCTAGCATCCATGAGGCCCTGGGTTTGGCCCCAGCACAGCAAAAACAAAGTGCCCGCAGCCCTCTGAGTGCCCACGTCCCTGCCCCGGGGATGGGCTCGGAGCTCTCTCCCTGAGCTCTGCAGGCAACACAGCCCGTCAGCCACCAAGCCTCTCTCTCTGGGCCTCCCCGGGCCAAGCGCATCCCATTTCAGGGCCTCTGTCCTCGGGCCCCCTCTGCCCAGAGCCCTCCTCACTCAGGGCTCACTCCCATACCTCTGGCCTTGCCAAGCCCCGGCCTAGCTGGTCCCTCTCTGCAGGGCAGCTAGTGTCCATTTCTGAAACCAAGACAGTGTTCACGTTGCATAAAAGCAGCCATTCAAGGGTGGGCAGCTCCAGCATTTCACGGCCACGAGCACCCCACTGGTTCCAAAGCCCCCAACATAAGATGCCACAGGTGCGCAGCAGTCCCTCCCATCACCTCCTCTCGCAGCCCCTGCAGCCACGGGCTCTTTCCGTCTCCGTCACTGTTACCTGTCCTGGACATTTCCACGCGTCATACAACATGCCGCCCTCTGTGCCTGCTGCTTCCAGTCCACACAATGTCCCCGGGGCTTGTCCGAGCTGTCGCCTGTGTCAAACCTGCGTCCCTGTCTGAGCTGGATGAGCTGCGTTGGATGGCTAGGCCACGCCGTGTTTATTTGCTCCCCGTCTGTGGACA